GTTCAGCTCTTTCATCTTGTCATTTCTTCCATTTGCTTTAGCTACTCTCCATTAAAGGGCAAGTTTCACAATCTCTTCTGAAATCCATTTTGGTCTTTTCTTCCTTTCCTGTCTTTTTAAATGACCTTTTGCTTTCTTCATGAATGATGTTTTTATGCCATCCCACAATTCCTCTGGTTTTTGGTCATTGGTGTTCAATGCATCAAATCTATTCTTTAGATGGTCTATAAATTCAGAACGGATATGATCAAGGTCATATTTTGGCTCTCATGGACTTCTTTTAATTGTCTTTAGTTTCAAGTTGAACTTGCATATGAGCAGTCGATGGTCTGTTCCACAATCAGCTCCTGGCCTTATTCTGGCTAAAGATATTGAAGTTCTCCATTGCCTCTTGCCATAGATGTAGTCAATCAGATTCCTGTGTATTCTATCTGGTGAAGTCCATGTGTATAGCCATCGTTTATATTGTTGAAAAAAGGTATTTGTAATGAATAAGCCATTTGTCTTGCAAAATTCTATCATGAGATCTCCAGCGTTATTTCTATCACCAAGGCAATATTTTCCAACTACTGGTGATTCTTTGTTTCTAAGTTTTGCATTCCAATCACTAGTGATAATCAACACATCTTGATTGCATGTTTGGTCAATTGCAGACTGCAGAAGTTGGTAAAAATCTTCAATTTCTTCATGTTTGGCTTCGGTGGTTGGTGCATAAATTTGAATAATAGTAGTATTAACTGGACTTCCTCATAGGTGTATGGATATTATCCTATCCCTGACAGCATTGTGCTTCAGGACAGATCCTTAAACATTCTTTGTGATGATGAATGCCATACAATTCCTCTTCGGTATGTTATTCCCAGCATGCTGGATCATGTGATTGTCTGATTCAAAATGGCCAAAACCAGTCCATTTCAGGTCACTAATGCCTAGGATCTTTATGCATTCCATTTCATTTTTGACAACTTCCAATTTCCCTAGATTCATACTTGTATGTTATATGTTCTGATTATTAATGGATGTTTGCAGCTATTTCTTCTCGTCTTGAGATATGCCACATCAGGAAATGGAGGTCTTGAAAGCTTGTACTCTATCCACATCATTAAGGTTGTCTCTACTCAGAGAAGGCAGTTCTTTACCAGTCATATTTTGAGTGCCTTCCAATCTGAGTGGCTCATCTTCTGGCACTATATCGGACAATGTTTCAGAGCTATTCATAATGTTTTCCAGTAATATATCAGACACTGTTTCACTGCTATTCATAAGATTTTCACTGTCCAATTCTTTGAGAAGTGGATAGTCTTTTCCTTCTTCCAAGTCTGTCTTAGTCTTGAGACTCTGCTGAAACCTGTCCACAATGGGTAACTCTGCTGGCATTCAAAATGCAGGTGACATAGCCTTCAGCCTCTCAGCAACATGCAAGCCACCACAGTACAACAAAGTGACAGACAAGTTTGTCTCCCTTAATTGTTCCAAACCACTCTGGTCACTTCCTGGTCTCCCTCAGCCATTCCAAACTGCTGCTGTCCCTTAGATGTTCCAAACTTGTTGTTAGCTCACTTCCCAGCCTGCTCCAGCCACTCCAAGATCTGCCTGCTGCTCAAAATTGGCAGGCAGTATATTGGTTATTGACTCTGGCTGATGACGAATCCAAGATCACCAGGCCAAATGATGGATTGTTCACTCATGTACAGTTCTAGGCAGCACAACAGGATCCAGATCCACAGAAGATTCTCTCATTTTTCCAGGATTCTCTCATTGCTTCCATATATATATCGAAGTAGGCCACAACCACACTTATAGAAATTGACAAGTCCCAAGTTCCTGGATCAAATGTCAAACTGGAGGTTTTTCCCAACTCACAGAGCTGCAGGGGCTGATGAGCTCAAGGTTGGCAGGCAGTATACCAGCTGTTGACTCCAGTGGATGACGAATCCAAGATCACTAGGCTGAATGGTGGATTGTTTGCTCACAGACAGTTGTAGGCAGCCCAACAGGATCCAGATCCACAGAAGATTCCTTTTGCCTGTAGAATCTTTCAATATTGCAACTCAAGGCTTGAATTTTTTCTTCAGTTCTTTCAAGCTTCAGAAATGCCAAGCATGTTTTTCCCTTTTGGTTCTCTATCTCCAGGTCTTTGCAGATTTCATTATAATAACTGACTTTGTCTTCTTGAGCTGCTCTTTGAAATTTTCTGTTCAGCTCTTTGCCATTTCTTCCATTTGCTTTAGTTACTTTCTGTTCAAGGGCAAGTTTCAGAGTCTCTTTTGACATCCATTTTGGTCTTTTCTTTTCTGTGTTTTTAATGACCTTTTGCTTTCTTCGTGGATGATGTTCTTGATGTCATCCCACAATTTGTCTGGTTTTTGGTCACTAGTGTTCAATGCTTCAAATCTATTGTTTAGATGGTCTCTAAACTCAGGTGGGATATAATCAAGGTCATATTTTGACATCCATGGATTTGTTTTTAACTGCTTTCAGCTTCAGCTTGAACTTGTATATGAGCAGTTGATAATCTGTTCCACAGTCAGCTTCTGGCCTTGTTTTGGCTGAAGATATTGAGCTTCTCCATTGCCTCTTTCCACAAATGTAGTCAATCTGATTCCTGTGTATTCCATCTAGTGAAGTTCACATATATAACCACTGTTTATTTTGTTGAAAAGAGGTATTTGCAATGAATAAGCTGTTGGTCTTGCAAAATCTATCACACAATATACAGTGTAATTTCTATCACCAAGCTATATTTTCCAACTACTGGTGATTTTTATTTGTTTCAAACTTTTGCATTCCAATCACCAGTGATAATCAACACATCTTGATTGCATGTTTGGTCAATTTCAGACTGCAGAAGTTGGTAAAAGTCTTCAATTTCCTCATCTTTGACTTTGGTGGTTGGTGCAAAAAATTGAGTAACAGTAGTATTAACTAGTCTTCCTTGGACCACCATGCATCTGTCAGTTTGTTGTACTGTGGTGGCTTTTGTGTTGCTGTAGGGCTATGCCACCGATATTTCAAATACCTGCAGAGTCACCCATGGTGGACAGGTTTCAGTAGAGCTTCCAGACTAAGACTGACTTGGAAGAAGGAAGAGGCCATCCACTTCTCAAAGAATTGCCCAGTGAAAAACTTATGATTCTTTAGAGAGATAATTTTTTTGTTTACTTTGTGTCCAAAGCCAGACATTCCTCAAAGTTTCTTCTTATATATTGGAAGCAGACCACATTTCTAAAGCATCTACTCAGCTGCTCACAGTAGATTCCACCATGGAGTTGATAACCAGTATCATCATGGGGCTCTGGTAGTGTAGTGCTTAAGGCACTTGACTGCTAACCAGAAAGCTGGTGGTTCAAACCCACCAGCCACTCCTCAGAAGGAAGGTTGGGCAATCTACTTCCATAGTGATACTGCCTCAGAAACCCAAGGAAGGGTCGCTATGAGTTGGGTCCAACTCAATGGCACATAATAACAACAACAACATCATCATGGGGAATACTGCATCTAGCTGCCTAGCCACTCAAAACCAGGCCCAGCCAAGTTCACACATAACCTTAACAACCACAGATAGAATAACTAATCATTAACTTTATATGGAAAGGGAAGACACCTTGGAGAAGCAAAATATTACTGAAGAAGAACAAAGTAGGAAGATTCACACTTCTAAAAATGCTTCAAACAGCCATAGTAGTCAAAACAGCCTGGGATTAGTACAATGACAGACATATAGACCAATGGAACAGAATTGAGAACCCAGAAGCAAATCTACTCACCTATGGGTAGCTGATCTTTGACAAAGTGCCAAAACCCATTAAATGTGGAAAAGATAGTCTCTTTAACAAACAGTGCTGGCAAAACTGG